TCTTTAAATATGAATCACAAATAAGATTGTACAGTAATTTATTTTTTATTGAGTTTGATCTACTAGTTTTTAAATAACAAATCAGCTGTTATTAGGTGTTTGTCACTTGTTATCCTGCCAAGTACGTGTTATTAAATGTGAATCAATCAGTGTTCTTGGCAGGGTGATTCTCATTTTAAGTGATAAGAAAGTAAAAGTATTTTCAGCCCTGGTGCTTTTTAGAAACCAAAAAGAATATTCGACATGCACATCAAAATTTTATTTTCCCTTAATGTGGTAACGTGCTCTCCAGGTCTGTTATTCAATTTACCAAAATCAGATATTGCTCTGAAAATACCGCAATCAAAAAGCTTCTCCCTCAGAATATAATGATAAAAAAAGAAATTTTTGCCATATCATAAGTTTGCACATGCAGTTGGTAGTAAGACACAAAATTAAAATAAAAATTTTGAAGGCAATCTATTTACTGCTTAATTTAATGCTTTAATTTAAAGTGGAATATTCTCTAAAGTCAGGTTAAAATAGTTTCTGATAAATGCAGTTTACTCGCCCACCTACCCACAAACACAAACCCCTCTGCACTGGAATGATGCTCAGTGTGTCTCAGTTCGCAGCTAATTAGATTAAAAATGACTTTTCCCCTGATGGACAAAAACTTATTAGAACTCTGCTCTGAAGTGTGAAAGAAGCTCACAAAGCTTGAGAGCAGCTTTCCCCACATAGATTTTCCTATCTTACATTCAGCAACCCCAATTCCACATGACTTTTTCTTATTTTTTCAACATGGTGTTTGGGCGTTTTATCATATAGATGCAGTCAAGCAGCAGAGAACTTGTAACTTTTGCTGCCTCTTGGCCAGGACGCCCTTGTAAAAAAGGTTTTTAATCTCAGTGGGTCTTTCCTGGTTAAATAAAGGTTAAATAAAGAGAAAGACAGTAAATGTGATGGAAAGAGAACCTGCAGGCCTTCTAGAAGTTAAACTGCTGAGGACACTTTGCCTCTGTGTGAATGAATCGTAACTAGTTTATCACCCAGACATGCTTTTTCTACTTTCTTAGTGTTTTATTTTTCTTCCCAAATAGCAATTTTTATTGACCTTAGACCAACATGAAGGATAAAGACGCACCATGTAAGATTTTTGTACCAAACCATAAGTGCAGTTGTGTATTTAGGACACTAGAGGGCACTGCCGCCTCACAAAAGGACCAGCTGCCATGGCAGAGTGAGCTATGTGCTGAACCTTCAACCCAAAGACAAAGCAGACTGAAGCAGAAAATGCTCTGATGCTCCCATATGTAGTCAACTGACATCCAGACATGATCATTCTGGACTTGTCTGTGTCCTTTGTACTCATTTAGTGAGATTTGTGTTTATATAGCAGGACGACTTGAGGTTTTTCATTTTTCTGTAGCAATGGCAGGACTTTTAAGCATTTTAGTCTTTTCTTTTGAATGCATTTGAGGTGTTTGGACATTGATGGAGACAGAAATGAGTAGAAATCGTTGTTTTATGTTGAAGCTGTTCATTCATACAAACAAATTAAGTGGTTTTAAAGTACAGTAAGCAAATATTGGAATTCAGTTTGGGGAAACTGCAGAAACACACTTTGCAAAAACATACATTTCCATTTGGTAACTGTGCCAAATGTCCTTCATCCACCTGTTTAATTATTTATTTAAAAGATGAAAAAAGTCCAGTAGCACTATTTAAAATATCCTGTGGAACTAAAAAGGTAAACCTAAGCAATGTAATGGAGTTGCCCACCTAATATGTATACAAGCATCTGCACATGATTGCATGTGGAAGGGTGTGTGTGAAAGAGCAGGAATCTGTTCTCGTCAGACGTGTGCATAAATCAAAGCAGCCACCTTTTCTTTTTTTTTTTTGTTGCTGTTGTGTAAGTGTGTGTGTAAAAACCAGAGGAACCTACCGGATCTGTTTAAATGGTTCCTATTTATGCTATTTTATTTGTGCTTAGGTATTTATTTGACACGCATTTCTTTGATGTTACACTTTCCCTTTGGGGTCTATTAATAAAAAACACACATCTTATCTTATCTGCAGCAGAATCATAAACGCACTTCTCCTGGGGCGCTTTAAAGATGACTGACACCACCACAGACATTTTTTTTTTTTAGCCATAAAATGAAAACCTTAATGTTGTAATTGCCCCACAACAACAACATACAGAATGGAAAGTGGTGGTAGCCCTCAGCTACACTGCACTGCTTCTTGGTTGTGTCAGTTTGTAAAGGGCTTTCTCACCATCCAGTGGCTATTAGTAAGTTTAAGCATTAAGTTTACAACCTACTAATTTATGTGTCAGTGTTCTAGCTGTTAAACTTCACGGCACAACTTCACACGACTTGAAACCGATTAATCATTTATGACTATTATGTGACTTGAGAAATGCGTCTCATTTCAATCAGTCTTTCGCTTCAAGGCGGTTTATGGATTTTTATTAGAATTAAAAAGGGGAAGGATGGATTGATGGGGGGGGAAAAGATTCATCTCCAAAACCATCAAGAGCTGGAATGTCAACAAGAAAAACCCAATCACAGGTTGCATGATCTTCTCAGGAAGTCTTTTAATCCGTAAATGTATTCTTGTCTACAACTCTAAAGAAAAAAAAAAAACAAAAAAGATGCAAAGGGTTAAATATCCCCACTCGCCCCATCCATATACACAAACACACCTTTATTGCCCCAATGTAATTTCTCGTGTACTCTGCAACTTTTAAATCACAGATCATGTTGGAACACATTCTTGGAATGCTCCTTGATGTGGGAAGCATCCCAGACATTAACATCTGATGCAGATTTTAGCAATCAACGTTCAACTTACCTCAACTTAAACATTTTGTGTTATTAAAGTGAGAGTCAGATATTTCACTGGGGATGGACCCTTCTGTATCTGCCATAAAGATAACAGCTTCATGAATCTGCTGACTGAACTGCATTGATTGAATTTCCCTTCTGGGATAAATAAAGTATTTTTCATTTCATTTCGTTTTTTCATTTCATTTAGAAAAACAACATTCAAGTCTAATTTAAACAGTTAGTTACAATTTAACTTCTTTTTATTAGTTATTCAGGAAGTCCAAGCTGCTTTAAAGTCTTACATTGTTTGCTGCAGGGTCCCAGTATCTCCTGTACATTGTGTTTGCTTTTTTGAAAATGGCCTTTTTTTAAAAATTAAATTTGAGATATGCACATACTAGCTTCATATTTACTCTCACATCAGTGTTTTTGGATAATCAGTGACCCTGGAGAGAGGATTAAAGAGGCTGAGATCTTGCAAAACACAAGTAGTGTGTGTAAATCTGCAGGTTGCCTCATTTTGTCAGTGAATAAATGTAAGAATCTGATAATACGAGTTTTGCCAGATTACTGTAAGAAATTGAATGAAAGAGAAACAGGAGCAGTGGAAAAGAAAAAAGGTTTTTCATTCGGTTTTGTAGGAATTGTTGCCGCTAGGTGGCGCAACTGACCCGTGACATACATTGGGAGTCAAAGCAACCTGTTCCAAAGGCCGGAGAACCCAACATGAAGGATCGGGCCTCTGGAGTAAAGGCCAGTGGAGGGAACACAGTCTGCCACCACAGGAGTTGAGTGTAGAAGTTAAATATTTAATTTAGTAAATTTAGTTTGACCTGATGGTGGAGAACGAGCTCAGTGAATGTTAAAGCCCTTTAGGTTTAATTTCATGTACTTTACTGTGATATAATACCAGTTTTTAGTTTGTCTTTACACAGGAGAAAGCTTTGTACACTGCGTTTTATTCTAAATAACTAAACGGTGCCACTGAGTTTCTTTGTCTGTCTTTCAGATATTAATCCCTTATAATATTAACTGTGCGCCTCCACGTGGGTCCACGCTTCTAAAACACATACAGATGACAAGCAGCCACTCTGACTTTCATTTAAATCTGTTTTTTTATTTGTATTTTTCTTGTATGGAACAGATTCGTAGCTCTTTAATAGCCATCAGGTGCCGCACAGGACTCACAGTAGCTGTGTGACCGAATCAAACGCTGCTTATCACTTTATCACTGGGCCCTCAGTGAGCTCTCACCCAGAGCTTTGTGTGTGTGTGTGTGTGTGTGTGTGTGTGTGTCCTTTGCTCTGTTATGCTTTGCAGATAATAAACCGGCCCCATATAGCCGCTTGGGGGCGTCGTATCTCGGTACGATTACAGACGCATTGTCGCCTTCCGTGCCATAAAATGGAAGATATGCCCATCGAAGGCGCCAGGTGAGCAATAAGACGGAGCAATTGAGACAGTTTGGATCGTGTTTACACCTATGCACCAGCGCCAGGCTCTCGCTACACATTAACCAGACGATATACAAATGAAGATATGGCGATGATAAACTCGAGACTCGAGGGGCAATAGACAGAGTAATCAGCGGGGATGTCACAGTCGGTTCACTGTGGCCGAAAGTAACACTTGTTCTGTGCGTGATGCTGCTTTAGAAGCGGCGAGGTGCCACTTTTCTGGAAACCTTTTCTGCCTTTCAGGTGGAAATTGCTTTGCCAATTGGATAGAAAAAATCATTTTAAAGAAAATATTGGCCTCGTGTGTTTAATTTCTTTTTAGATGTGTGCTGGATTTTTCTGGAACACCACTTTCCCCACAGCCCAAATAAAATCCACCACTTTTTGTCGCAGCATATATTAAATATCTTGCATTTATCGCTAATAAAATAAAACCTTTAACTGTAGTGTGCGGCCTCTTGTCCAGGTAGAAATCTCAGGTATGATCTCTTTATTTTTTCGGGGAGGGGGGGCTTTTAACTTATCTTAATTGGACTCTTTGAACACAGCCTGGACTGTTATCTCCACATGAAGTGGGCAAAGAGACTTCCATCCCAAAACGTGCCAACAGCTCTTTTTTTTTTTTTACAGGATCTCCAAAAACCTGTACGCGTAAAAGGTGACCATTTAGGTTCCAATTGCGCAAAAAGCGAGGCACACACACACACTAAGAAGAAAAAAAAAATGGCATTTCAATATTTTTATTGAAACTTTCAAGAACACGAATGTCGATGTTGTAAACTAGACAGAACTCCAATACAACATAACCCCACTGACAACTTAAGAAACACAAAAGAAACTATTATGCGGCACTTTTACGATCAGGTTCGCAAAGTTGTTGTTTTTTTTTTTCTTCTTTTTTTTTAATAACAGAAAAAAAAAATAGTCCACTTTTTTTTTGTCACACTTCAACGACACTTCTTTTGCTCTTCAAAACAAAACAAAAAAAGATCTTTTTTTTTCTTTTTCAAGCCATTGGTGCAGTGCGTTGTCGCTTTTTCATTCGGTTTAAACAGTAGCACTTCACACACGGGGACAACAAGTGAAAATACAATGGCACATGAGTGTGAATAACTAGCTCGGTGGATATTTTTTTTTTTTTTTAGGGGGGGAAGGGATTAAAGTCCATATTTTAAAAGGGGGGGTATAAATGCAGATGGCAACAAAAAAAAGGATAATAGCCCACAAACTATCTTTACACAGGTATATCGACAATAAATTAAGAACAGATCCCTAGAAACGAACTACTCCGTTGTATTTACACGCAATAACAATATGAAATAATTACATAAATATTTTATATATCCCTATTTACACCGATGATCAATACTACCTTTCATTTTTTTTTGTTTTGTTAATATTTACTTTAAATTTCTGCTTCCCTTTGCCTGTTTTGGGCTAAAATTACGCATGCTTGGGCCACAGTTTAGTCCCGGAGCACCAGTCATCTCAGTAGGCCTATTCTGATTTTTTTAAAGAAAAAAAATAAAATGTTTTTTTCAAATTTGATAACCCAATTAAAAAGACAATTTAAAGTGTGTTGAATATATTCAAAACAGAATATTTCCTATGCTTAAAAATAATAATTAAAAATAAAAAAAAACATTCGATGGGGAGGTTTTAGGACATGCAAGATTTGTTCAATCGATCAATTAATAGTGTACAACAAAATACAGCAGTCTTTTAAAAAGGTAGGTCGAACGGTAGTGAATTCAAATAAGTCCAATCAATTCCGAGTGCATATTAAAACACATCTCTCCTCGTGTACAATAAAGTTAGGAGACGGGACACAGCAGCAACTTCTCCTCAAAGTCTGTAAGTCCACACCCCCGTGCCAACGCTGAAGCTTCAATACTTGTACGGTATTCAAATGACAGGATAAAAGTGTTGTTTAATTTAACAAAAACAAAAAAGAAAGAGAGAAAGAAATATACATATTAGATGTATTAAACAAAGTGCATTTCAGAAACTAAAAAGTCCAACAGTTTTTAGTTGTTTTTTTTGTTTTTCCTTTTAAAACCTGCGTGAATCTACGAGGGTGTCCTCCTAAATGTCTTCATCAGCGTCAACACTTTTCATGACAACAACGAAACGAGAAGCAGGTGGTGAGTTTTATTAAAAAAAAAAAAAAAAGAGAGAAACAAAGACAATCCTAAGGGGATCCGCTCCGTGGCCTGTCCTGATTCGTGTCCAGTCCACTGACCAGTCGCTGGATGCTCTGGAGCTCGTTGGCGGCGTCCTTCTCCGTGCAAGTTTTTGGGGAAATTGAGACCGATCCGGAGGATATTGTGGACAAGTGGCTCGTCACCTCCGATGTGGAATCCAGGGTGACAGCGGACACCGGGCTGGCCGGGACGATGCCGTCCGCTTTCAGCTCCGTGCCGCCGCTGGCCATGGAGGGCATGGCGGTGGTGAGCAGGGTGCTGTCCGGTACCGTCATGGGGAGGGAGTAAGGGCTGTACCTGAGTCGGGGGCGCACTGCGTTCAGGAAGGGGTGCCGGTGCACCGAGGAAGAGGCGGCAGACGAGGCTGCCGCGGCCGCTGCCATGTAAGTGTACGGATAAGGGAACAAACTGCCAAACGGAGACATGGCAATGCCCTGCGGATAAATCAGAAACGCAGCGTCAACCACAAAGCTGGTATCACAGACAGCACATAGACAGTAGACCACCACACCGTTTAAGCACGTCTGCGTTGGTAACACATGTGCCAAAAAAAGAGTAAAATCCAGGGCAAGTGCATGGCGTTTAAGGGTCTTGTACAAGAATGTGTGAGTTAAAGTGGTGGAACAAATGCGTAAAAATAATGAATCAACGTGACTCGCTTTAGGCTTTTAATTCCACTGGCCCAAAACGAAGATCTGGCTTAAAGGTAATACAAAATTAGTCTGTCGTGCCATATGCTTCCTTTTAGGTTTTTTTTTTCTTCCACAAATCTAGTCCAAACAAAATATAATGCAGCAAAGCTTTACCACCTACCAAGTAAACATCTTTGTTTCTTGTTCAAGAATTTGTAAAACAAATGAAAATTCCTGACGTTTGATGCAGCTATTAAATAAGACACGTTGCAGATATACCATTTGTTTTGACAGTAAATGGAGAAAAGACGTATTTATTGACTATTAAAACATAATGTTGTTTGCCTCTCTGAGCCAATGAGGCATTTTAATACTCTCCATTTCGGCTCTAAAACACAGACTTAATGAGCTCATATCAAAAGATTGCCTCACACCTATAGGTGTTGCAAGGCGTTCTCCTTCTTTCAAAGTCAGTTGTTCTTAAGGACTGCTAGTTAGGCTTCACAGTATCCACAACAACAGTTCCATGAGAAGCCTAATAAAATGCTCTCTAATAGTCAGACGCAGTTTGAATACAGCTGCCTGACTTTTCTCTGAATAAGAGCCTGTTTGGCGTTAAAACAAAATAAACAAAAAATGCGCAACAACACACACACACACACACACACACACCTACACACACACACACGCACTTATAGTTGTGTTTAGAACTCACATACTTGAACTTATGCACATTAAAGATATCCCTCTATGTGACATATTAAATGTGGCACATAGGCCTCCAAGGCCTAATCTGCTCTACTGTACTCAACATGTGCTTTACGCAAAGCTGCGTGTAGGCCGAGGCCAAAGAAAACAGGTTTTACCTGTGATGCCAAGACATGTTGCTGCAGATGAAAGGGCAGGCCCGGCGCCCCCGTCAAGCTCTGCGGAGGGGATGCCATGCTAGTTGTGTCCATGGTGCTCACCCCTCCTGTGGACACGGCTGCCAATAGTGGTCCCATGCCCGCGGCCATGTTTGAGAATGCACCTCCCATGTTGAACTGACTGGGGTGCAAGAGAAACGGATGCGCACTTCCGAGGTGATTGAAAAACTGTTGTCCTGTTAGGCCTGTTGGAAATCCAAAGTTATGCAGGTGGCTGTGGCCTATGTGTGCGCTGTCAGTCTGAACAGTCAAAGGCATGAAGCTGTCCTTGCTTATTGACCTACATTCGTCCGTTTTGGGCTGGTCCAGGTTCGGACTCTTGAGGTCTTCTCCAGAGCGAGTGGTGCTGGAGATGACAGTGATGGGGCTCTGTCGTGAGTCTGCCTGGCTTTTCTCAGTCCTGGGGCCGCTTTCGCGGACCCTGCTGGTAGAGTCACTGTTAGTGAAGGGATGGCCCTTCGCTGGGCTCGCTTCATGATCCTTCCCGTCCTCCGTGGTGGTGGAAATCTTGCTGGAGTCCGGACCATCTTTATTGTGTCCATCTTTGCTCTCATCGTCGCTGTCTTCATCGCTGTCGCAGAAATCTGTACATGCAAGAGAAGGAGAGTGTCAGTTGGCTTTGTGCACACTGGGGGATCGTGAACATAATATTATCTGCCACATTGCTGTTGGCCCTCAGAGACGGAATTCAAAATAAACGTGACGGAGATTTATTGCACAGTATGAAAAGTTTTACACGTTCGTGCACTTTGGCACACTGAGTCAGTTCAACAATTACAATAATAATAAAGTTTATTTCCCATTGTTTCCAATAATATTTGGATAGCACACACACTGGCACAAGTTGCTAGTTTTATTTATTATTTTTTGTACATGCATTATTGTGCACATTACTGGAAAACCATTTGTAACAAGACTGATAACTTGTCTGAACACATTACTGTGTCATCAATTAATAAGGAGATTCATTTTTTTCGTGGTGTTTATTGTTAATCAGACAGCGCAGAGGACTGTTCTATCAATTCTCCTCGTGGGAATGAGCTGCATGTAAATTATCACTTAGTCACTGACTGGTTGACACTGACGACGTTTATTCTTAATCTACACATTAACACGAACTTTTTAAACATTTTTGCCCACGACTTGACACGCGCCGTGTGACCGGAGCAGTGACTGATGGTGGGGTCTGTCAGCCTACCTTTCAGGTGTGGGGGGCCCACTGTGGACACTGCGGGGGACGAGGCCTGGCCGAAGCACTTAAAGGAAGCCTGCTCTCCAGAGGAGTCGTCTGAGGCCCCGTTTTCCTTTTTCTGCTGCTCCTCGTATGAACGCATGGATTGCAGAGCCAGCTGTTTCCTGTGCACAAGTACCCGGGTTATTATAGGTGGTAATCACAGTCCTCAGGTCAGAAACGATATCAGCAGCACAATGAATGACGGAGGAGCTTATTTGGACATTATTATTTTTTTCGGTTCCAAGCTTTAAGACTTGTCTCCTCTTGTCTATTATTATGTTGGATTAGAAAGTGTGACGAGGCAGACTCCCTGCGGGTCATTGTGGAAGCTTAGAAGCGTTAATCCAACAATATCACTGAGTTTCTTAATGTGGATCTCAAGACATCTGTCTTACCTCTTTTCCCGCCTCCCATTGCCAGTGTCACGGAATCCTTTGGCAAATGGGTTATGGTCTATTTTCAGTTGGGTTATCTGGAAAAACAAAAATTCAAACCGTGCGTAAAAATGTGAACGAAAATGGAACATCCCCAAAATATTTTCATTCGGTGTTAATTGAACGCCAGGGCCACTGCTCATTTTTGCAAAGTTTATAAAAGATGGCGATGATTGTCCCACAGGCCAAAGCTGCACACTGCCATATTTTTTGGTTGCACATATAAAACACACATTTAGCAAAAACACGCAAGCACACAATCGCACGCGAAGAACCGCACGAGTCCTACTATATTGGCACGTTTTTTCCATGAGAGCAAAATATGCTGCTTTGTTTGTAACTCTTGCAAAACTTTACTCCCTCACCACTTCCTCTCCATCCCCGGTGGGGTTACCACTGCACATGTGAGGAGAGATGTGGTGCCATCGTTTTCCAACAATTTCAAAGAGCTGAGATGATTTTCATTAGTTTTGCCTCACAGAGAATGAAATGCTACCATGCAGCACAGTCTGACAAAATGCCCCTCCTTTTTTTTCTCTTTTTTTCTTCTTCTCCGTTTAACCTCACTGTGTTGCCCCTCTTCTTCTTTTTTCATTTCTCAACCCCCAACCCTTTTAGTTTCACACACACACACAGCCTACAAGCAGACGCACACACACGCAGAGAGAGGGAGAAACATAGTCTGGGTCTGTGCCAAATCCTTTCCACGTGATTAAATAAAAGGAAGATAACCTGTATAACATTCCTCAGAATTATTACTTTCTTTCCATAGGCTGGTGAATGTGGCACTTACTCGCACCATCATCCCCCCCACACACACCCCCCCTCCACTATGATACTCCACTCTCACAGCCTCCAACAAATAGCCTATGACGTCTTTCATATTTTATGACAACAAAATGGTGCAGAGCATGAAAGACGGAGAGGAAAGCGCGTGTGACAGGACGGAGGGACGCACCAGCTCCATTTTAGATAAATATTCAGGATATACCTTGAAGCCTCTGAGCAATAATTGTCCTTACCTTGTCATTCTGATAAGCAGTCACGGCAATGAAATCCGTTTCAGGAAAAACATAAGTCCTGAAGGTACTGTACGGGAGTTTGAGAATATCGTTGGCCCTCACAATGTGAAATCGAGGCTGATATTTGTGCATCGAGTTAAGAATGGTCTGCAAAACACAGTCAGACAAAAAATAATGTATTAATTATAAAAGGGATTAAAATACAGCTAAAGATTTACGCACAATTTATGTCACACTGACATTTGTGATCGTTGGTACAGAATCCGAGCATTACGCACGCCGCTAAAACGCTCACTTTGATTTAAATAGGAGGTGACTTTACAGAAAATGGACAGATTCGGCAAAAAATCTGTAGCTTGGTAATTTTGACAATTTATAAATTGGGTCATAAACAAGATTGTGTCAACGTAATGGCGTTTGTATTTTTTTTTCTCTCTCCAAACATCAACAATAAAATAAATTGTGCGTAAATAAAATCAAACAGCACCAAAACCGTGAAATATAAATTATTAAGACATGTGTCTACTCAAGCAGTAAGTTGATAAATAGGAAAATTGACATACATTAGTTGAACTTACAAATCCATGCTTGTCGGAGATGTTATTTGTCAGCTTGAGTTTGTGAAAATTGACGACTTTTGACATCCACTGTTCGCCAGTAGCCGGACTGTCCGGGTGAATGTACATCCTCTTTGGCATTTCGGGGTCGGCCTTTCCTGCCACCATCCAGCGGGAGTTATGAAATTTGTACCTGCAGTCGTCGGCTGCAACTATATCCATCAAGAGTATGTATTTGGCCTTCTTGTCCAGACCGGTGCACCTCACTTTGAACGGGGGAAACATTCGCCTGTGACACAGGAAAACAAACCGTGAGCACGAGTGTGGTAGCAAACAAAACTTTGAGTAAAATATCCAGCAATATATACAAAAAAAAGCTGCAATATTTTTTTTAGATAGACATAAATAGTATATGCCTGTCAGTATACGAAGTGCGTTATATCGCTTTAACAAGTAGCCAACGTGCTGCTATTATTTTTAATTTGCTCGAGATAAGTCAGCCGAAAAAGCGTCTAAGTGTCATATGTGCAAGTCCAACCAATTGTAGTATCTCTCCAACAGAATATACCCCCGATTTACCCACGAGACAACGCGTAAACACGAAATGAATCTTGAGTTTTAACGCCCTGAAAGGCCTACACGCAGACACAGCAGCCATCTTTGCATACTGTCACTGGTGGTGATGACGAAAATAATTTTGTCAGAGCTTTACGCACTCAGAGTCGTCACATTAATAGAGTAATCCGTCAACTAAACTTTGGACACAAGGAGCACGAAAATAACAAGAGGGATTATAAGCAAGCCACATTTTTATATCAAAACGTGTGTGAGGCTTAACATTAATGATGCATCAGCCACATGCGTAATCCTTTTTATTCTATTTGCCATCGTTACAGACATGTTGGCAAACTGTTTACCACAGACCTCTGCAGGCTGCATGAACACACAACTCTCACTTTGTCTGCAGATTGTGTTTCATTTGTTTTTTTTCCCTATAAAGCTAAAAAATATCTGCAGAAAGTTTTGGGTTGTGTTTTTGTTTTGTAGTGAAAGCTGAGACGTGCAATAAAGGTCATATTTGCATGACATTTGTGGGGCAATTTTGCACTAATGCAAGTTTAATTATTACAAATTAGACTAATAGAAAGGCTGCATGGAATAGCTGTAGGGATTGTCTAAATCAAAGCAGCGTATCTGTGTATAATAATAAATCCACTCCCCTCATGTGTTATCAATACGCACTACAGATAGGCTCATACATGACAGTTTTTTAGGCAAGAACACACAAAAAATATATTTCACCTTCCAGATTTTGTGATCACCATCTCAGTGCCTCTCTTGTGGAAGAGTTCCCAAAGCTCCTTGGCTTCCAGGTGAACTTTTGGGTCGTCCTCCACCTCCTCCTCAGGCTCCAGAGTCTTCAGAGGCCTGAGGTGGGCGGCCGCAGCCTGGTGCCCCAGAGAGGAGAAGTGCAAGCCGGTCTCCGCGGCTCCCATCAGCTGGTCCATGATCGGCTTTCCGAGGGCGCCCGGCAGAGAGAGCGAGCCGCTGGGAGGGAGAGCCAGGGCCGGGAAGAAAGGAGGCTGGTGACCCAGCATTGCACTCATGGCAAATTCCGGACCCCGGTGAGGTATAAACGGATGATATGCCATACTTGATCCCTGTATGACTGGATCTCTCATCAGGAAGTTCATCCAAGTGCAGGCAACAAATGTAGACGACTGGTTGGATGGAGAACAATATTTCTTACAAGAGTGGAGCCTGCGTACAGGAGCAGCAAGTGAGGACAAAAATAAAAAAAGACGAAAAGAAAAATAAATCTGAAGCTGGAAAGCTTAGGAAATTCCTCCTTCAACTTCGGCAGGAACAAGCATCCAGTATTTTTTTTTTCTTCACAAGTTGCTGGGAAAGCTACAGTCCTTTGCTGAATTTTGATCAAAAGTCTGCAAAGTGAAATGTAAAAATGTTCTCCATTAATCTTCAAGAGTGCTGCGAGAGCGATTTTCTTCGGAGCTTGACGCGCATCGGACACCTTCTGTGTCTCGCTGGCTTTCGGACATTAAGTCGAATTAAACCAACTGGGGTGAGTCACTTAATTGACTGCGGCGCATTCTTTCTCTTCTGCTGCTGTTTACAATATCGGCATTCCTGTTAAAAAGGGTTCCTTCTTATTGGCTTCAGTCCTGCAGCGAGGGCGACGTGTTGAAATATTTCGATAGCGCCGAATAATCCCCCTGCCTTTACTTGCTCCGGACATGCACCCTCACACGCACACACACACTTTATTCCTCCTCTCTCTTTCGCGCACACACACATTTCAGAGAAAGACGTGTTCAGAGAAAGGAGTCCGCTGACGGCCAGAGAGAGAGAGAGAGAGAGAGAGGTGGTAAGGTCCCAGCTCCGTGATTTTCCTAGCGCCTCTGTGGCCCATAGGGCTTCATACTGTATGGATGTGTTGCATGTTACGAGTAGCAGCGCTCCGTTTGATTGGCTCTTTGACGCTTTCGGACCAATTGTGTGGCTGCGTAGGCGTGGTTGGGTGGAGGGGACAGACTTCAGACTTATAAAAAGGTGTTTGGAAACTCAAAAGGGCTTTGCCGTGAAACACCACCCTGCTCCAGTCGGTGTTGTGTGAATATGTCAACATCGTTATAGAAGTTGCGCTATCGGTCGGTCTGTGAGACCCAGCGAAAGGGGAGAGAGAGCAGACGAGCCAAGCCGGGAAGCCGGCCCGCTCTGCCGGCGTGATGTTGTTGCTCCGTCGCGCTGCTCGACTTCCCCCTTTCTGTCCCAGCCGTGTTTGCGCGCTTTGAACGTCGCCAAACACAATTTTTATTCATTCATAATTGTGATTATTTTACGATCCAGCAGCGTTCACTTCGCGCTCTTGCAGAAGCTGCACACATTTAAACTGCGCCGAAAAAGCAGCAGAGTCGCCAACATTTGGTCCTCATGTGAAATCAAAGCGCAGGAAAATATGACGGATGAAGCGCTCTATGATAAGTTCATGTGTCGTTATTAAGAACGCTGTGGCGCCTCTGAAACGTTCAGCCACTGTTAGTTATACGTTTTTATTTACGTTTATTTTAATCTAGGCGATTCTTTTGGGGTTTAAGATGTGTTTATTATTTTTTTCCTGTATTGCCATCTTGGAAATAAGCAATTACGCAATTAATTTCTACTTTTCCTCTGCAGCCTAAATTTGGATTTGAGTCAGTGTGAGAGAAGTCAATGCTGTATGGCGATGCATTTATTGTAGCCCCATGAGGAAACGTGAAGACGTGATTTTGTGTCTAACTCGTGGGTATTTTCATTCTGACTTGAAATCTACAGATACGTTGACGTGAGCTGGAGACTGACCTCATATCACACGTTTGCGCGCAAACAGCCAGAGGAGCAGAGTTCAGTGAGGATGCGTTCACTGGCGCTTCTGCATTATCAAGCCTTCCACCAAAACGTCTGTGTTTTTGAATCATACCAATCAATTGTGCTGTTAAATATAGCACGCTTTCCCGGCACAACTGTCTCTCTGGGAAACAACTCCGTTACTGTCCCTCTCTGCAAAGTGACAGTTGCACGGACTTCACTAACTAAGGTGTTATTGACAATACGGGGCTGATTTTTCATGCAATCTGCAAATGTTTTTTTATTTTTCCCCCCGGTTGTACTGTATGAAGCAGACTGTGCTGTCACAATCTATTTTTTTTCCTGTCCACTGTAACATTGAAGCCAACGGAGATCTGGGCTGCAGTAAGTCGCATGCGTTTGCTCCGATGATATGAATAAATCTGATAGATTCAGCTAAAACACCAATTAGAAGTATGTGGCTCATTATTTGCTGCAATAACAATGCCTCTCTGCAAAAACGTCTACATGTGCATCAGACAAAGCCACGCTAGTTCTCTCTAAAATGCAATTTAACCACAAATTCACAAGTAAACTAGAGAGCCGTGGCCAGTCAGTCAACTTGGATAAACATTGACCATCAATTCTCAGTCAGTTGTCTGTCTCCGAGGACCCAAGCATGGATCTCAAAGTCCTGGATGAAGGGGGGGCATGCAGAGCAAATTCTTCCAAAAGCAGCATTCCTACATTGCTCCGATCAATATTTTTGCATCACTCATGCAATATTAATGCATCTGCAGCCTGGCCAAAATCTTTTGATATTTATAATGTTAGAAGGTGTGATGTACTTGTTGCAAACTGGCTGTTAGAAATTTATGGAGGCCTATACTGTGCAGAAGTTTAGGGTTTGAACAAGTCAGTCGAAGCCTGAGGCCACATCCTAGGAGGCAATGGAAACATTAACTTCAACTGAATATCCATTCAGCACTACTCAAGCCTGCAAGTATTAGTGGGACCACTGGGGTCCTGTTATGATGGTTTTGTTCGGACTAAATTGTCTATTAAAACTAAATGCCCAATGCAGTCTTTATCATAGGTGTTGTCTCAGAAAACAGCCCCTGTTGGCGGTGTGTGTGCACCCTGCCTGTGTCTGCATGTGTGTAAAGTGGAGTGGTCTGCATGCATATACAGTATATCCCCCCGGGGAGATACACAAGAATATCTGGCTTATGTGCTGTGTGTTATTGATTTGCTATAGAAAACAAATGCAACGCTGTTGATAAGCTACTGCAACCTCCAGCTAAATGAAAATCTCTCATGGCTCGAGCAAGCTAAAGCCAGCAGCTAAACCTTTTACACGCTTTCAGCCCCAACATGGAGGTGCTGCGTGGGACCTCGCCTCCGTCTTCTCACTGTGTGACTGAGGTCAGGTCTGTGTCAATTACCCGGGCTTATTCTTCTTTAAACACTCGCCCCCATTAGCAGCACATTTCAATTTAGTGGAAGGTGTCATCAAATAGGAAGCAGTGTTGACACTGTGGCAGCCTTTCAGACTCTGTGGCCAAGCTGGCTTCATTAGCTAAGCAAGTAGAGAATGGTCAATACACTATATAAACTTTTACAGGGTTAGGGCTCTCAGGGACTTGGAGAGGCTATAAAAAAGGTCTGAGCTGACACTACTGATTGATGAAGCCAACTTTGTCAGCGCTTCCCTTTTATACAACTGCAGAGATCATGCATATCAAAATCAAACCGGGTAGTATATATCCGACTGGATGGCCTCTAAAATGTCTCACTCTATGTGGGTGGGTGGTTTTTTTTTTGTGTTTTGCATTATACAAAGGAGTGGCTTTTGTTTTAAACCTGCCTGATATGTAAAGCGCATTATGTGGCGCTGTCCTCACAGTTTGCAGGAATTATCCTTTGAGAATATGCTTTAAGCTGTTACAATTTAAGTCGAAAAGCATCTTCTCTCACGTGCTTCTGCTGTGACCTTAATTCAAGCTGCAGTCATAATGTGCTTTTATTGAATATTCCTATTACTTATTTAATCCCTTTTTGCTAACTTCACAATACTACCAATGAAGAAGAAAAAAAAACTGCACTAAAGTCATGGGTTGTAAGGCTTCCATGTCCTGACTGCACACAACAGCCACACTGTGTAGGTTCATTAAGCAAAGCTTCAAAGACATTCCTGGAATTGATCATGGAGCTGCAAGTGATGTAATGTATGCTGTCCTGTTTATTTGCAGATTGTTAATGATAAGCAAGGACAGACTTGGTGGCACCGCTCCTGAATGGAGGAGATTGTCTGGTGAGAGTCATCAGCCCTAACACGACATGATAGGGAAAGGAAACATCACAAGATTAGTAAATTCAACGACTATAATGACTCCAAACTTTATTATGTGCATCCTGACACAAAGTGGAGGGGGAGATCTTCAATTGACAGCGTAATGACTTTCTAAATGCGAGCCATTTACCTCAAAGATTTAGGTGGGGCTAAAATTGATCCGCTGAGGCTGTATTGCCCCAAAAGAGTGCAGACTGTAAAATGCACTTTCCAGAATCACACACACACACACATGTTTTAGTCAATTGGCTGGAAGAATGATAAACTCTTTACCTGTCGATGAAATGTCCCTGTCAGGCATTTTTTAAGTCAAGTCAACCCTTGCTCTCATCAATTCCTGCACTGGCAAGTTATGGGTATTGATGAAATACTATTTTAGTTAATTAGGGGATGTGCTTATTGATGGCGGTGCATTGACTACAGATTGACAAGGAAAATGGCAGTGTGCTGGGGAGACGTTTGCTCCGCTGGTTGAGGTTGTTCATCAGCGGCGAGGCAGGCTCATAACTTTAAACTTATTACCACATAGTTAAGGAGGAGGCAATCGAAAGATGAAAATAGCATGTCTAGCTTATGATACATTATGAGACAGTATTGACGATTTTTTTTTCAAAAAGCCACCAAGATGCAACAAAAAGAGCAGAAAAGCTGATTCATTCATAAATTCACCGGGAACACGAGATCAGTGAATTCATCAGATGTTTTGAAAGTATACATTATCATAGACTTGTTTTGGCATAAATCTGAAAATTATAAATGTTTGCAAGTTTTCTGGACTCATATTTCAGAAATCAAGAGTTTTTCTTGTGTTTTATAGAAAAAAAAATGTTTGCATTGTTTGACTAGGGGCCCACTAAAAGCTCGCTTAATGGTTCCTATTCATGTGAAACAAGCTCATGCTCATTATCGCCGGTTGCTGTAGAATAGAGTAAGGAGTGACAGCTGCGTTTTGAAAGTACATTATACTCACTCTGCGCTATTAGAACAAACCAGTCCAGCGGCATGCATCACCTGTAGAGCATAATGCAGGGGATTTGTCTGCTCAACCCCATAAACAGCCGTCAGGCTTTCTCCGTCGCTACAAGCTGTGTGATCAAGATACTCATGGCGAATGCCTCAGATGTGGACCATGTGTCAAAAGTCTTTAGCTTGCCTTACGTGCCACCACTCGCCAACATGGGGAGATAAGCATCTTTCCCCCCCTTTGTATTCTGTGCGCCGGGGAATCGCACTGGAACTAGTTTTGCATGCTAAAAAGCAAACAATAGCAAATGGGAAACAGAAAAATCCTCAGGTTATTTGTCATCAAGTTAGCACAGTATAAATAAGTTCCTGCTATGTTCATGAGAGGCACCAGTTAGGGACTATTTTGGGTTGGAATCAAAAAATATTTGGGTTTGCAGAGTGCAAGGCGGGGAGGTGCCCTAATGTGGGTATCTGCTGTCCATTTAGCTTCCCCGCCACTGGCACTGACTTTGCTTTGACGTTGGAGTCTCGCAAAGTTTTAGGGTTTTTTTTTGCCATTGAGCGCAACCTCAAGACTCAGTGCTTTTAAGAGCAGAGTGGTATAAAGCAGTGCATTCCTCCACCAAGAGAGTCTCGGGCTATGGGGTTAGGGTGGCTTCTCTCTAGAGGTTAAGTGGGATAAGTGTGTGGCTCATGTCAACCCCACTACCC